ATCGATTGGGATCTCTAAAAATACTCCACACTTCGAACTGCTCGCTGTAGAACAATATTTGCATGGATGAGGTCTAGAATTAGCATAAATTTGTGATCTATTCAGCATACGTGTAAGATATGTGCTGAAAGTACGAATGGATTGCCTAAGCGCCTGTTAAATCTCAGCGGTTTCTGCATGCCCAATATGTGAATATTTTTTAAATGCCAAGCCTCTCGAAATCCAATCAAGTTCTACTTTATTCATTGCCTTGAAAGCACATCGGCGCTAGGTGACATGGAATACAACTAATCCCTGGCTTCCGCACTCACGCTGCACCCAGTCATCCAGTGGCATAACCCGATTAGATCCATGCCCATCCTAACCATCCTGGCCAGCCTTCCCGACCTGCTGGCCGCCTTTGTCCCGCTGGCCCCTCAATAATGGAGTCAGCAATAAAATGCAACAGGAAATGAAATATAAACGCTCGCAGTGCAATCGTGTGTAAGTTCTGGCAATGGCATTATTATGGCGCTGGATGCCACTGCAGTTTGAATGAATTTCCACCCGCGACACCCGTTTTTGTTGCTGCAATGGGAATGGAAAATTGTTAGCATCATCAACACGTAGCGTTGACGTGTTGAAAATGCTGAAAGTTATAGCACACATTGAAAAGGTGGTTCCATGGTTCCATGGTTCCATCGTACATGGCACATGGTACATGGTACATGGTACATGGGAAATCGGGGGACGTGAATTGCCTTGGCAATAAAATGCTTTTCAATTCAATTTCCACACATTTGATGAGCGCAACAAAAATGTACGTTTAACTTTAATAATCTCTCATATTATTCACAAATTTTACGGGGCGTTTTCCGACTCGAGTTTCCATCAAAATTGCGGTTTGCAATTCGTATTGTTCGCTCGTTACATTGCTAGTTGTTTTGTTATTGAGTGACATTGTTGCTTAATTTTCCCTTGCGAACTACAATACATACGCTAATTTACTGGATTTTCAATCTATTTCCTTTATGCTAACTCTGATTTATGCACCAAAGCTTTCATAACTTTCTGTAGTTTTCATTTCAGTTTTTCCACACTTTTGCCTGTTGCTGCTGGTTATGGTTAATATGTCGCGCTTTTTCTGGTTTTATGTAAACTAATTGAGATCTTGTTGTCTGTTGGCGGTGCGGTTATATAAATACTTTTATTGGCAACGTTGTGGCCGCTTTACGCGTTTTTTACTGTTTGTTTTGGACGCTGTTTTCTTTTTTGGGTAATTTTCATTTGCCTACACTGAATGGAAACAGTGACATTTAGGTCTTTAGTTTTTGTATGAACAACAATAAAAGACAAGCTCTAAAGTCTTTGGGTAGTGCATAAAAGTATGCTATGAAAATTGCATTTGCCCAATAAGGCTTTGTTGCCATGTGTTAAGTTGTAGATTCATCATATGCATATTTTAGCTTGGTTGTGACCACTCTATTTTTTGCGTGCAACTGCTAGTTTTCAGTTTGTGGCATTTTTTGTCGATGGTGTAACCACTTGTGGTTTTATAGCCTGTTGCTGTTGCACACTTGTCTGCGGCTGCCCGCCGTGGCATTTTATTATTTTTTAGATATTAGCTGTTGTCCTGCGGGCATTGTTACCTGTTACCAGTCACCAGTTACCAGTTACCAGTCACCAGTTAGCTGCCTTCGCTGACTTCATTTGGGTTTAGCATAAAAAACGCGTTAAGAACGCACGCGGTCAGCGGCATCGTTAGCTTCTCCACCTGGGCGTTTCGCCTCCGTAAGTATGCCACATAAAGTTAAAATCTTAAACAAAAAAAGAACGAAAATGGCATATGCCTGGCGCACAAACAACGCAAATGGCAGAAGTCTGGGTGAAAATTCGAGGGGCGGAAAAGTCGACGAACAGCAAAGGAAATGAAGAAAAACTTGATTTATTTTTATGTGCTCAGCGATGCGGCAAGGTGAATGGAGTGGGCTGTTGAGTGGATGGTGGGTGGCTTTTCCATTCATACAAATGCTACGTGCGTAATGACCAGGCACACACACACACACAGACACACACACGCACACAATCGCTCACTAGCGCACTCACACTCTCACGCACTTGAAGTTAAAGAAGTTCCACGTTGCGTATACGTAATCATATTCTTTCTTATTTATATTTTTGTTTCGGCCCGGTTTCCCCTACTCCAGCTAAATTATACATCTGCATGTACACATACAAATTTTCGGATACATATATACAATATATATGTATGTATATTTCATTTGTGCATATATGTACGAATATATACCTGAGCAGGCTGCGTGGACAAGTGGCCAAAAATTGGGTCTCCCAAATCAATGGCAGTGGGCCACTACAAAAGCAGTTCGCTGGTCGATAATTTATGAATATTCTGCACAGTTATATATACAAATTAGTACACCAATATTGCTAGTATCACTATATTTTAAAACGCAGTTTTTGAACATTTAAATTGGCTTTATATACAGTTCTAGTCGCCTGGGAAAGTTGGCAATATGTAGTACCAATTTATGGTGTTAGTCGGATTGCTTGCCCATCTAAAAGCCGCAAATGTTGGGCCAAATCGGCAGACAATTAGAGAATTGCATTCTGGCAGCGACCGAAAACCAAAAGTTGTGGCCAGGTAAGTCTGGTAAATATGGCAAGATGCTTTCCCTCACAGCCATGTTTACAATACATTTTAATAAAGTCAAAAAGGCGTTCGGATGTGTGCGAAAGGGAGGGGCGAGCACAACGAGCGAGTGAGATGGGGCATAACTCCGGATACATATACACACATACGTGTATGTGTGTGTGTTGGTGTGCCAGGTGAGCCCAGCGGGAACGTAATAAAAATATGAAAATCAAGTGAAATCATTTCCATTCAAATTCAAATCGCACGGCAGAACGACAGGGAAGGAAGTTGTGGGGAGGTGGCGCCGGGGGGCGTGGCAATCTGGGTAGCAGCGCCAGCTGAAAACTGATATTCAATTCAATCAGTTCTGCCTGAGACCTCAGGGAAGTGACTGTAGCACTGGCGATACGGAGGTGGCGAAAAGGCAACTGCACAGCCAAAAACAAGGTTATAAAATACAAACCGAAAAACAAGGAACGAGAATGGAAAAACTGCCCATGACTGAAAAATTCGCGTATCTAGATATGATATGATATGAAAATGCTTACGTTATAGAATCTGGTAACTTCCCAAGCTTTTTACGGAATCAGCATTGCTGAAGAATTCGCGTTTGCACGTTTCTGCACACTTTTGTGCACTGTGTGGCCAGGAGAATGGTAATCGAATTGGTTCCCAGTTCCGAGTGCGGTTAGTTGCTAATGCGGCGACCTTCCGTACGTGTGTGTGTGTGTGTGTGTCAATGACTGGAACTGATTCTGATTGAGAATCCTTCCTCGTCGCTGCCACTCGACAGGTCGGAGTCGAGCCACTGGAAATCGGCTGAAAAAAGCAAAGTAGTAGAGAAGCCAGTACGGCCAGATATTTCATGGCTGAGACGGCGACCTTCACCACCTGTTATACATAAGCGCAAAACTCCACACTCATCAGCCCCTTTCGCTGGCAACTTTGCGCCTCCATTCACCTTAACAATAAATTTCAACAAATAAATCAAAATGTAACAGAAGCCGCGTGGAATTTTCAAGTGGCAGGTGCCACAGCAGCAGCAGCAGCCGTAGCACCACCCTGAGCCACCCTAAAACCACCCTAAAACCACCCGTGGTGTCCCTAAAAAGCGGAGCGAGCCCAAAGTTTTTGATTTTTGTGCTGAAAAAAGTGTTTACCAAGGCCTGGGAATCGAATTGAATGGTGGTGGGGGAGGAAAAAATAATGGGGAGAGGGGGCTTAAAATAAATGGAGGGAAATTACACAGAGGGGAGTGAAGGGGGAGTGAAGTGGGCGTGAAGTGGGGGCGTATAACTCCAATTCAAACAGCTTATGTCCTTGTACTCTGCGGTAAAAGCACGAAAATTAAGATGAAATCGAAGAAATTGAACTTTGCATAACATTTAACAAGATATTAGTAACAAATTAACCTGGCGTGGCCATAATTGTTTCAAATCAGCCAAATATGCTGGCAATCTGGACATGGTAAACTCTTTTTTCGGCACTTTTTTCTTGTTGACTTTTCTGGACACCTTTTCGCACTCGAAGAAAGTTTTGGTTTGTATTTCCTTTTTTGTACTCTTGCTTCTTCTCCGCGGTGGGCGGAAGTGCGGGAGGCGTGGCAGGTGACGGCGTGGCATCAGCAAGCAAATGATGTTTAATCGCACGGAAAGTCACAGCGTGAATCCTGTCCAGCAGGATTCTCCCGCAGAGAAGTCGTCGTCGTTGTCATTGAAGATGCTACATTGATGCGTGAGTGTGTGAGTCTTAGGCAGATGAGGATTGCCACCCACTGGGTGGCACACACACACACACACCCGCATCCCCCTAATCATCGGCCTTGGCTCATTATAAACAGCGGCCACTGTTGCATGGACTTCGAAGTCGACGGCGACGGCGACGGCGACGTCGCTACCTGTTGGAAATGCAAACAGCGCTGGCAGAGGTCCTTGGAGCGCCTGCGCTGGAAGCAAATCTCCACAAGGTCGTTCGTCGGCGCTGCTGGGCGGTGCTGCTACTGTGGGTGGGTGGTGCTACTGTGCTGCCTTCATTCAAATAATAACCGACTCCCTTTGGAGACCCACGAACGGCAGCGAAAGTAACGGTCAGTTCGTAGGAATTGCATTGGATCTGCTTGGAGCTGGTCAATTTCTGTAGAGATTTGCATCCACAACTGTGTTCATTTGTTCATTTGTTCATTCTTGGGAAATGTCTTTCCTCTGGCTGAATTTTTCGCCTACCATAATTCTACAAAACTTTTATCGCACAATAAAAAAGATATAAGATTTGCCTGTCCTACATACATTTACATGTATATTTTTGGCTTCAGATAAGCAAAAACAAACATGACCGAATAAAACAATTGAGTCATGAAGTGAGGGGGGTAAGAAACAAAGTATATTCGTTAGCATTATGACCAAGATATTTGCCTTGAGTAATCTGAAGTAATCTTAACGATAAGGAGACAGCTGAGAACCCAGAAAATCCCGAGTGCTGAAATACCCGAGGATGCGGAAGTCGAGGGACTGGTGACATGGGGCTGCATGTGATCCAAATTGTGGGTGCTGGGTATCTCGGTGAAATAGTTGGCCCAAATGGCAAAGGTCAGCAGGTCGTTTTGTGGCTTCGCCAGTTTCAAATCGACCAATATGGGCTGATCCAGATTTTTCGCCGCCTCTGGTGATTCCTGCCATTCATAATCGGCTACCGAAACGGGCAGGAATAGAGCATTCAAGGTGCTGGGCATGATCAATCGACGACCACGTGGAGCAGCTGGAAAATTGCCAGAGATGCTCAGCTTGGTGAAATGGTGCGTATTGATGACCTCCTGGTTTTCCGGGAATATGTAGCCACAACTGGCGATACGCACATCCGTGCAGGCAAACAGAGCACAAGTGGCCTGCTCAGTGCGATCCACGCCAATGACGGTCGTCTCATTGCCCCAGTAGACGCCGATCCTATAGCGATACGATTTCGCCTCGCTGGAGGTCACCTCGTTCTCCGCGGGGCTGGTGACCTTCCGTTCGATGGAGAAGGAACAGCAAAAGCTGCCGTGGCACAACTGGCGTTCGAAGCTCAGAAAGTCCTCGGCCAAAAGTTCACCTTCGAATATATCCACATTGTTATCCCGATAGGCCGCCAAGCCAGTCAATCTCTGCGTTTTCCGCTGCGGCGTGAACAGCGGCGTGAAGCTGGGTGACAGTTGCCCATGGCTCCTCTTGGGCACCTCCGAAATGAACAACTTGGTGGTGGGTTGCTCGAAAATCTCCGCCACCAGTCGGCCACCGCGTCCAGCATAGATACCCGATCCGGAAGTGCGTCCAGCTGGCTTACTGGCATCTGCGGCCAAGACATTGACGTCATTACCAAATGCCCAACCCTCTTGGAGTTGCACCGCGCCCAGGAATGGCAGCTCGGAGAACCAGTAAGTGGGATACACGATATCCGTGATATTGTGCTCCACTACCAATTTCAACGCCGGGTCATAGAACAACATGTCGAAGCAGATGAAGTGGCCAAAGGTTACGCCAAAGTCTGTGGTAAATGTGGATACATCTGGAGTTCGCAGCACTGATATTGAGTAGTACTCGTGTCGCCACAAATGGGTTTTCCTGTAACGCGAGATAATCCTGCCCGTTCGGTCGAACACCACATTCGTGTTGAAGTACCGAACTCCAGTCGAAGGACAAGGATCAAGGGTGTCGGAACCAGCTCCATGGGCGCACAGTTCCTTCTCCACCACGTTTATGACCACATACAGGCTATTAGCCCTCGCCGAGCAGGACAGTTCGATGAGGAACAGCTCGTAGTCCGTTTGGTAGCAGGGCGTTATGTTCTGGAACTCATGGGGCACAAAGGTGGCCGTGGCGTCACTATTGAGCACGTGCTCGGGAAACACTATGATGTCCACATCCCCGACTTCTCCAATGATCTTTTGAAAGGATTCCGAAGCTAGAATGGTGCGTGTCCTTGGAGAATCGCCCTCTGGCGAGCTGTGCTCCACCACTGCTGCCGTATAGATGGGATCTTCCGGCTTGGACAGCTATGGATAGAATATAAATCACACTTTTTGTCCTTCATAATAAAAAATACTCTTGGAAAAATAATGCATTTCCTAATAATGCATGCATTTACCGATTTTTGCACTTATATACTTATTCCCATGTTGAAATATGTAGTAAAACCAAATTTACCTGATGTGAACTGCTGAGGAGCGCTGCCAGGAGCAGAAAACTCAAGTGCATGGACTTCATATTAAAACGCTTGTCGAAATCCAACTGCCAGGCCATCGAGATCTTGGCCAAAAACGAAGACTACGCATCAGGAATCAGGTGAATGAAATCTCACTATCTTGCATATATGCATATTATATTACGGGGCGACTGATACTGCATTTCGGCAGTTTAGAGCCCCCAATATTCATATAACACTTATCTGTGCAATGTATGCTCGTCAACAAGGGGTTAATGATTTCTTGGCGGATTGCTTAAATGAAAACACTAAAAGTAAAAAATAGCAATTAAATGAGGTGTCGTATTTGTCTGGTCAAAGCCGTTATGGTTATTCACGTTGCGCTTTATAATGCTCCAATATGCAAATGGCTCTCATATAATATTTTCGGAATAATATTTAATTCCATATTTAAATTATATAAACAATTAACAAGTGGAATGTTATGCATTTTAAAATTCAAATTCGATTGGCGATTATGGTTGCAAGCGATATTGATAGTCGCGCGGAACTTAAAGCTCTCCAACCGACGGCATTTTTCGAGCCAACACAAGCTGGTCACACTGCAGCAGCGAACCTCAGCTGTTCAACAACAACAGCACGCGGCAGCAAGTACAACAAAACAATAAGATTGTTATAGAGCTGTTAACAGTTATTAGCGGGCTACCTAAAAACTAATTACCGCAGTTCCAATGCGCCCAACGAACGGTAAACTTCATTCCAAGGAGAGCCCATAGCGCGCGAGAGAGATAGAAAAACGGTGAAGGTCGCGCTGCGAAAGATAGAGATAATTGATTCGCAGGTTCGTGTGTTGGTGCATATTCATGTTCTAATAGCTCGCATTTGTGTGTGTGTGTGTGCGAGTAGTGCTTATACAGCAAGCAACTGATATAATCAATCTTGAATCTCAACATCCCGCCAGTGAGACAAAAAATCGAGAATCGCGATCTGAGATCCGTCAACAAACCGGACCAGCAAGCATCGCTATCTCGCACATCCCGCGGATTAGAATATCTCCCATTGCGAAGGTAAGTAACACCGATAACGATTGTCAGTTGTGTTCAGTTTAAACGAAGCGCGTATTTCTTATCGGCAACGTGACAATTGTCCAAGTTGTCGACTAACCCTGAGCGGGCAGCGATTTAAATCCACCCACCGACCTTGGAAATGCCCTTTGAGTTCAGTGACGGCTGAGCAAGAGCCAGAATTCGATCACAAATATCGAAAAAATCGATCAGGTATCGGCCATTATTCGATACGATTCGGGTTGACTAAAAATTTATCATGGATTGGCAGAAAGTCTCTCTTAGAATCTTAATATCTCAATAAAAATTGTTAGTACCGCATGATCTCAGTAATAAAGTGAATAAAACTGTCATCATAAATACATACATATGTACATACAAATGTACCTAATTCCACCGAAAAGGCGGTTATGGCGCTTTGTTACGATCAGTTCTAGTTTTGGTAAGCACTTTTGCATAAACCATTTTTGTATCTCATAAACCTATTAGCTATGAAGGGTCATAAATCTCGGAGCTAAATGATAAGCTTCACATTTATTCCCAATGCGCAGGAATTATAATAATTTATGTACATATGCAAATGTGTATTTCTCTTTTAAAACATTTATACTCATATGTATGTTTTTCTTCGGTAACACCGTGTGCTGGAATTCAATCGTTTATGCTGAATTGCGAATTAATAATGGTTTGGAAATGTATTTTCATCAGCTAGTAGCAATGTATTCAAAATAAAATTGAATAATCAATAGTTCTTAATTATTTTGATTACCATATTCAGAGCACGCTTTAATGCAATAAATGCTACGTAATCATGACAATGTTTTGCGAATGTGTTGAGTAATTTTCGTGCAAGTGTGTACATATGTATGTACTTACTTATTACCCCTTTAAAGTACCCGATAGCACGGAATGTTTTACAAGCAAGATAAAATAAAAAAAAAACTCTCAACAAAATACTCAGAAAATCAAAATTAAACACGGAATTCTACATCGATTGTTCAGACGCCTGTTTTCATAGCATATGTTGGATCCATTTAATTTGTCAATGGTTTATTCAATATTAAATCTATATTTTATTAAATTTCACATACCTTTCAGATATGGCGCTCAATCTGAAGGCCCTGTTGGGCATGCTGTTCGTGTTCATCGGTTGCTGCAGCAACGTAGTCTTCCTGGAGCTGATCATTCAGATAGATCCGGGAGCCGGTAACCTGATCACCTTCGCCCAGTTCCTGTTCATCGCGCTGGAGGGCCTGGTCTTCACCTCCAAGTTCTTTACGGTGCGACCGAAGATTGCGCTGAAGGACTACGTCATCCTGGTGGCCCTGTTCTTTGGGGCGAACGTGTGCAACAACTACGCGTTTAACTTCAACATACCCATGCCGCTGCACATGATCTTCCGCAGCGGATCACTGATGGCCAACATGATCATGGGCATTGTGCTGCTAAAGAAGCGCTATAATCTGCGCCAGTACAGCTCTGTGGCCATGATCACGGCTGGCATTATATTATGCACCCTTGTTTCCAGCGGCGATGTCAAGGATAACACCCATCACAGCCTCAAGGTGGATACCTCCTACTCTGAATTCTTCTGGTGGACGGTGGGCATTGGTTTGCTGACGATCGCCCTGCTGGTCACCGCCTACATGGGCATCTACCAGGAGGTGATATACAAGAAGTACGGCAAGCATCCCAGTGAGGCGTTATTCTTTACGCACATGCTGCCCCTGCCCGGTTTTCTGATTATGGCCGGCAATATAGTCCAACACTTTGGCATCGCATGGTCATCGGAGCCAGTGGCCGTGCCACTGCTGGGAGCCATTGGCCTGGAATGGAAATTCCCGCTGATGTTGTTCTACCTCCTGTGCAATGTGGTCACCCAGTATGTGTGCATCAGTGCCGTCTACGTCCTGACCACCGAATGTGCCTCGCTAACCGTCACGCTGGTGGTCACCCTGCGCAAGTTCGTCTCGCTGATGTTTTCCATCATCTATTTCCGGAACCCCTTCACCATGAACCATTGGTTGGGCACCATCCTGGTCTTCTTCGGCACAATACTCTTCGCAAATGTGATCAACCAGGTGAGGGACGCCTATCGGACCAGGTCGAGCCGGAAGACCAGTTTCGACAAAGCTCCGCTGGCCAAGAAGGTGGAGTAATCTCCGAGGGCTGTGCTGGTTCCTGCTGCAGAGGCCATTAACCATTAATTTGTAGTTTAAGCGCCTTGTTTGTACATAGAATTTGCCTAGTGTGTAGCCGTCTCTGTCTGGTTTATAATTCTCGTCCATCGCAAAATGAGCTTATGCGTGTCATTCTACATTTTCAAATGTTCGTTTTTTTTAATAAATAATTGTCCAAAAGTTTGTAATATACAACGTTGATTCCTTTTTTTTCGTTAAATTCTTGAAAAATATATTTACGGAAACTGTAATATCTCCGAATCCAAAATATGCGATAAGATATGAGCTTTGAAGATTGAGTTTTTGGGACCTCGAGACGTGAATAATTAGTCAGCTTGTCGAAGATTCCAAGAAACTTTTGACTAATTTCCGAAATCGAAGGTGTTTCACAGCCCTTCTCTTTCATTTTCACACAATGCTGTTAGTTTACCAAAAATTTCTCTTGTTTGATCAGTTTTTTGGCTGAAGGATTTCTGCAGCCTGTTCTGTTGAGTTGGAAGTGCGCACGTTCGAGTGTAAGAAAAACAAACTTTTATTGCCACATTCTTGTATAAGTATGTATTTGTATATAGGTAATATATATGTATATTCAATGAGTTAATACTTATGAAAGGAGTTTTTCGGGAAATCGTGTTATCTGGCTCCAACATCACACACTACAGTATCGTACATAACATTCGCTTGTGTTGGCTTCTTTTGTTTAATTTAAATGCACAGGTAAGTACAGGAATATCAGGAATCAAAGAACAGAAGGTGCGAGAGCAAAAAAAATATATATATATTAAATTATCAAAACGAAACTCATGATGGATAGTTTGGACAGGCTGATTGGATAGGCAGCTGGCTTATGCATCGATTGCTCTCGATCTTACTGTTCATCCTTGTCCTTGGCACCGTGCTTAAGGATGCGCGTGAACTCGAGGTAGTCGAACAAACCGTTCTTGATGGGCGCCTCCCGATACATCTCGTCCACCTGTAAATCCGAACGAATATAGAAAAACTGCAATTTGATATCATAAACTTGACAACTTACATCCTCGTCTGTGAACCGATCACCCATTGTGGTGAGCAGCTCCCTCAGGCGATCCTCGGGCAGGACGCCCATGTTCTCCTCGTCGAAGCAGCCAAAGGCGTTCTTGATCACATCCTCGGGATCGGTGCCCTGCAGCCGCTCGCCGAAGAGCGTGAGGAACATGGTGAAGTTGATGGGGCCGGGCGCCTCGTTCATCATGCCATCGAGATAGTCGTCCGTCGGGTTCTTGCCCAGCGAGGCCAGCATGTCGTGCAGGTCCTCCTTCTCAACGAAGCCATCTCGGTTCTGGTCGATCATGTTGAAGGCCTCCTTGAACTCGGCGATCTGCGCCTGATCAAACATGGCGAACACATTGGAGGTGGCGCGTTGGGCGCGCTTCTTGGTGGTGGCGCGACGTCCAGCGGTCTTACGGGATGACATGATTGCTGATGGAGTGGTGGTTCTGCTGCAGCAAATGGAGCTAAGTGGAGTTGGCCTGTGGAGCTACTGGCACTAGTGGTTCGCGCTTAAGTGATGTGTGTGCGGCGTGGATCTGAAATCGAAAAACGACGACTCACATTAGCATTTCGGCGGCCGGGTATGTATTTATGGCTATATATAGACATATTGCAGCGAATTCCGCTGAAACCGATTTTCATTGCTCTCCAAACAAACTGTGTCAACATACAGTGGACGCTCGCTACAATGCTTCCACCATTTGTATTTTATCACATCTATTTGATACTCAGCAAGTTTTAATTTTAGAAAATAGCTAATATATGAAAGTTTTACTACCTCTTCCTAAACTAAAAAAAACTACAAAGTTTGTAACTAAAAAATTACATTTATGAATAAATCCAAGTAAAAAGAATTTTGGGTCTACTAGATCTACGGGGATCTACTAGATATGCAAGTGGTAATAAGAATTTTATGTCTGGAAGGGGATTTACTGGCTATGCAGACGACAGCAAAAGCTACTTGATAACTTCAGGCTTCCTTTACAGTTATAAGTTCACAATATCGGGCGCCCACTGTGTGCGACTCATGCACGCACACATGCGCAGCTGCTCTGAGTCACTCGCGCATACGAAAATGACACGTATGGGAGTTTCGCTCTCTCCTCTCCAACAGAGCGTGCATGTGTATGGGTGTTTATCAATGCTGTTGAACTGCGGCTAACAAAAACAACATCACACACGTATTTGGCTCATTGAAAACATTCTCACGCACACTAGCGCACACATTTCAATTAAAGCCTTAAAAGGCCCGAAAAAAACAGCAGTTGAAGCACCCAAATACACTCGAGATCTCAAGTTGGGCCAAATGTTTGCGACTCCGTTGATTTAACACATTCGGTTGGACATTTAAATGCATTTATAGCACAAAAACAATTGTTTTCTTTTGCGCGCTGCCGACGCTGACTCATACGCACACACTCTCACACACGCACACCCACAAAGGGCAGCGCCCTTTGGGACTGCAGTTCGTTTATTTGATCGATTATGTTTGCTTGATTGCGCCTGATTTGATTCATACTCACAGCTGCCGAATGTCGAGTGTCTAATACTTTTGAAGTTTCGTTAATGCAACTTGTAACCAGCTGCACTCTTGTCTTTTATAAAAGCGATTTCGGTTCGATGAGAAGGGCAAGTGTGGCCAACATACAAGCTGTGTGAATTAACCAAAGAATACCGCGGTATATACTAAATAATACTGCAAATACTACATGTTTTTGCACTCAAAATAATAAACTCAAAAATAAATTAAATACATTTTACATACCAAAATCGAATGCAAATAACAATGAGTCTAAGGAAAGTTCATTTTAAAGGTTTTTCCAATTAGAATCGCAAATTGTCTAAAACATATTAGTTTCAAAATGTTCCTTATAAAGAAATACCATTTGCCTTGTAGGATATCCGGTTTTTGCTAAAAATATATTTATAGTCAATGCCTTTTGCTAATTTTAATTTTCCCTGTCATACATTAGTATTTTTTTGGTATTAACTTTTTAAAATGCCCGCGTGCTGATTGGAGTGTTTCAGGAGTACTTGCGCAGTCTGGCAGCCCGTTATTACAGCATTTCCAAATACGGTAGTACAACTATTTTAGGATATTGTTTTCAATACGGTATGGACACACTGCAAAGTGTTTGGGATGTTCGATATTTGTGTAAAATTCTAAGAGACCTGAATGAAAAGAGGCATGCATTAGGGCGTCGAACGAGGGATTTTCCAGCCCAGCAGATCCTTGCCAGCGCGTGAAAAGCGAGTCGAGTGGAAATCGAATCGGTTGGCACGGTCGCGGTCCAATTAATTTCGAACTTAACTGCGCGATTTGCAGGAGATGTGTCTATACCTGCATGTGCATGTGTATCTGTGTGCGAGGTGGCCCACGGCTGTGTGTGTGAGCAGCGTGTGAGTGTGTGTTGGTTTGTGGGTGTGTGTTGGTGTGTGGGCACACTGGAAAGAATCAATAAAGGATGTGCTGCGTATTGCTGAGCGAGAAAAAAGGACGAAAAGTGCTAGCCAGAGCGAATTAACGGTTAACTTTTGGCACGATTAACGGATTAACGGTCAATCAAGCCCCACAACCGAGTGAACAGTGAAAATAACGAGAGTGCGGGCACAGTTAATTAGCAAATTAACGAGTGGGTCGCCACAGGATTTCAGGATTTCGATATATTTTGGATTCCTGCACATGAACAAGATGATGAGATACTGCCTCATAATTGCTTTGCAGCTGTCGTTGGCATGTAAGTATTAAATAAAGTTTCCAAACCAAGGGGGGTGGTAACGCACAAAAAAAAAACGATGGAGTGGGAGGAGGGAGTAAGCCAGGGGGAGGGGGTAAAGGAGGATTGGGTGACCTCCGTGCTCAAGAAAAACCCCAACCCCTATGTTACCAATTATAATTTAACTAATTCTCGTCTTTATCTGCTCCCAACCCTCGAAAAATCCGTAACCAATCCTCGACAGACTCCGTGGAGGTGCACTTCGAGGCGCCGGACAGCGGCTTCTTTCTGAAGCACGCCCGCCAACCACCTGTGACGCCGGAGATCGCCAACGTGCAGACATCCTCGGCGGTGCCGCCACTACGGCAACGATCATCCTACGACTCCGTGTTATCCCTGGACAGATTCACTGTGGTGGAGACCACGCAGCCGGTGTCCATTCGCGCCAGTTATGGACCATTTTCCACGAAACAAACGGTGCCAGCCCGCTACATTGTGCCGGACACAATGGACAGCCAGTCGGGCGATTATATGAACGTGAGTTGTCCCCTAATCCTGGCCAGCAAACAGGCGTTTTATTAACCCACTTTCTCCCCCCCAGAATGCCACTCTACTGGAGCTCCAGCAGCCGAACATGCACCTGGATATCTCTGCCCATTTAGTACGCTCCAGTGTATCGCAGGATGCTCCCGTGCTTCGGGTACTATTCCACGCCGGAGCCGATCCGGGTGGTCACTTGCAGCGTCAGAAGGTCTGTGTACTCCTGCACGTAGCCATGGGCTCGGAGCAGCCGCTTAAAGGACGCTGCATGCCGGAGGGCGAGGACGGTGTCTGCGTAGCCGAAGTGGTGGTGCCACTGGGCTGGTGGCCCCAGCTGCCCGCGCCCACACAAGACGGCAGTGGCCAGGCGCCACCCAAAGTGCCGCAGCGGTATGCCCAGGTCTCGTACAGTGTCTTTGAACCACCATTGAGGAATCCCGAGCAGTGCGAGCCCAAGGTGCAAATCCAACCGTTGACTACATTCGCCCAGGTGCCTTTGTTGGCCGCCAGGACTCCCTATCGTATGTTGCGTGCCGATGATGCCGTCACCTTTCTGCTGCCCCAACATCCACTGTATCCACTGTCTCGTCTCCATGTGCCCGTCTTTCTCCACCAATATCCCGATCAGCGGGTGGCCTCTTTCACAGTGAGAGCTCGCGTCAAGGCGGGCTTGAAGATTTTGGGCGCCACTGCCTCCACAGACCAATGGAGCGTCTCTGTTGAGAAGGAGAATCCCAAACACACCACCGCCCGGGTCACTGCTTTTCGCAAAGAAGCCGAATCGAGTTTGGAAAGCGGAGGTAACCTAACCAGCGAGGTGTTTGAGGTATTCTCATGGCTGCTCGAGGTGGCCGAGGACACCAATGATATTGTGGACGGTGGCAAGATTGTGTGGTCCGTGACCCATGTCTATGACACGCCAAAGGACAAGGATTCCGGAGAACTGGTCATACCCGATGACAACAAGAAGCGACTAATTGCCAAGCTGGAGATCAACAAGGATGACATTCAGGCGGTGCTGCCGATGGCCAAGATCTGGGAAGTGATGAACACGGCGGTGCTAACCGGCAGGCAGGTAGCCCAGGCCATGAAGGTGTTTATCGTTTCGCAGGCTGGCAAGGTGGCCGATGTGACGCTACAGAGCTCCTGTCATGCCGAAGACGAAAGTGTGATCAAGGTGCGTCTGAATACTGTGGTCTACTCAATTGATAGCTAAATAACCAATCCACTTCTTTCAGGTTTCCTCCTCCTGCAGCTCTGTTTATGTGGATGGCTCCGAGCAGCGCGGCTCATCCAATGCCTCGGTCATAGTCAAGTATGGTACATATGTGGGTGTGGCCAAGTTCATCGTTTGGATGCCCGAGTTCCCGCTGGAGGTTTACATATCCGATTTCCGTCTCTCCCAGATCAAGGGATGGAAAGTAACCGATGACAATCACTATCTGTAAGCTGACTATCCTATAGTTTAACCACGAATATGCCTTACCAATCATTCTGATACATTTTATGGCAGACACAACAAGCAGTCGCGTCGGAGAAAGAAGAGATCCTACGTTTGGGGTCAGCACGGAACCAACTATTATAACAATCTGGGAGCAGACAAGACGATTTGTCGAGCGCGCTATCAGCAGAGTCCCGTGGAGGTGTACGCCAAATTCCTGGCCGTGGATCAGGTAAGATTCACTGAGCGTCTTAAGCGCCAAAAATTATTATATTTCTTGTTTGCCTCATCCCTTTGAAACAGAACTCTGGACGCACCAGCTACTTTATCTCACGGCGTACGGGCTTAAGAGTCACGGATCTGGTGCAGCCGCTGCTCCGTGTGGCCGATCCCAAGATCGCATCTCTGAAGGGTCGAATTCTGCAGGGCAAGTCCATGGGACGCACCGATGTGCAGGTCCTGTCGCCCATAACGGGTCGAGTAATTGGCACCAAGGAAATCCGTGTGGGCAGCGACAAGGTCAACCTTTCCAAGCTCATAGTGCGCGTCATTTCGGGCCTGCAGCTCACGATCAGTCCGGACAACACGATTGAGAACGGCTACCTGGCGGAGACATCCGTTACCCACAAGCTGACTGCTCAGTATCAGGAGGGACTGCTTGACATCGATCTCGAGTTTACCGATGGCTCCAAAACTCCTTTGCGGTGAGTGAATGTTTTACAACTTACAACTGGGCTGCATTCAATAAAATGGTAACTATTGTGATTACAGAGATATTGCCGTGGAGGACTATTTCCTGCTGGTGGAGAGCTTGGACACCGAGGTGGTGGCATTTGCTCCCATGCTGGCTTCCCATCATCCACGTGTCATAGCCGTCGGCGAGGGCAATGGTAACCTGCTGCGCGTGACTCTTTTACTTTCCGAGGAGTGCCGCCAGCGTCGTGGCACGCTGAGCAGCTCCAAACAGAACAAATCGAATGTAGCACCACTGGCCAGTGCTTTGGCATCCATCGAAGTGGATTTCAACAATGTGGATATCGTGAACAAGCAGGAGGCAATCCAAAATGATGGCACTGTGGGCAGGGAAAGAAAGAACTATAGGCAAACTGGAGATCTGGCCGACATCATTGGTGGGTGCAGATTATATTATGACTGTATCTCTTTATACTTATTCTTGCTTAATCCCTGTTTCAGTTGGCATCCCTTTGCGGGACTCCAGCCAGCTGTACGAGCCTACTGTTCAGGCGCGTCAGCATCGGGGCAGCATTCAGGCGGTTCATAAGGGTCATCACGGCAAGGGTCTTGCTGGCACAGGCACCATGACCACCATGGAACTGGGCATGTACGTCCTGCTCACGGCGTTCTGCTTCGCTATTATTGTGTTTGTGATCTCGTGCGTTGTGTATGCCTCCAAATTCCGGCCAGCAATGATTGAATCTGGCTTGGATCCTCTGTCGGCGGGCAAGAGCAATGGTTCTGGTGGATCTGGAGGCTTCCGGGATGTGCGCCTAAAGGAGTCGACTACGAATGCACACGATTGGGTCTGGCTGGGCCGCTCCACCATCGACCGTCAGTCCATTGTGGCGGAAACCAACACGCATTTGAATCCCAGAGGTGACATTTGAGCTTTACAAAAGGTTTAACTTACTTAAGGCAACATTTTTCAGCAGATTCCCGCATGCGCATCACGAGCAATCCGATTGTCAACTACGACAATGGCCGCCGCGTCAGCTCCTTTGACCAACAGCCTAAGCTGCAGACGCATATCGTGCCGGCCTCCAATCTAAACAAGCAGCACGCCGACCAGTGAGTATTGCGCCCAGAAGTATTCTGCACCAGTCGACGCTAACCTAAACACTTATCTGCAGCTATTTGGCCAACGAGCGCAAGGATAATGCCCTGGACTACAAGCCGCCAGTGCCGCCGCACAGGAATGTGGGCGCCCGAGCATGCCTGCCGGTTCAGCCAGTGCCCGGTACTGGATCTGTAAAGGTATGTCCTCAAACGCGAGCTTCAAATCAACGAGCTTATATTGATTGTTTATTGTTTTTACTTACCAGGATGCAGCACCCAACAAGCGATACAGTCAGCTGTACAGACGTGAGCATTTGCAGAACGGCGATAGCAATGCCAACCAACAGCCGGCACAGCAGCCGAATCAGCAGCCGAATCAGCAGCCGCCAACAGAGCGCCCTCATCCATTAGCCCATGCCCATCCACATCCACATCCTCATCCGCACCAGCATCAGCGCAGCCATAGCCACAGCCACAACTTCACCCAGGAGCCACTCATTAAGGCGGCGCACAACAAAATCAAGCAGCAGCAGCAACAACAACAGCAGCAGCAACACGAGGAGCTGCACAACGCCGAGAAGCTGGTGGAGTACACGAATCCGCACCAGAAGAACGCGTTCCAGTTCGATTCGCTGACACCAAAGAGAGTTACCAAAGCAGCCGCGTCTTCGCCGGCAACGCCGTCCACATCAGCAGTCCAGGGCAAAGCTAAAGGTAGACATATATTTAGTTAGTATTTAGCATAGAGGGTACCTTCTAACGAACCGTTTGAACAGAAAACCACAGCATGGCCAGCAGCACTGGGGATGCGGCCAACTCAAATGGAACGGACGAGATTATAAGGCTGCCAGCCAGCGCCGTCAGCCAGGAGCCCACCACGAAATCGTCGCGTGTCAAGCGCGCCACCGTGGTGGGCAATCCGATGTTCTCGGCCACCGTCGATGAGTCTGTCGCTCCCGGAGAGCGTCTTGGTCTGGACGATCTTGACATGGATTACGAGCAGATCATGCACTACTTTGACAACCTAAAGGTGAGTAAACCCGACGCTTGTGCACTTGAGCTGCTCCAGCAGAGAAATCTAATGAATTCGCGTCGTTCTCTCTTTGATATGTAACACTTGTGTGCCGCAGGAGTCAAATGCCTGAGTACAGGAGATCATTGCTAAAATTCGCGAGATATTGTCAACGTTCCATCACCGATATCAAACGGTTGCCACGCCCCTGACCTCGCCCACTCGCCAGCAGATGCAGCTGCTCGACGAACTGGTCGCCGGCGTGGCAACGGCCACAGCCATCACCGTAACCAAGGCAACACCATTGGCCACGGGTGACGGAGAGGCCGACGATGCCGCTGATGCATTCGATGCCTACGATGGAGCGTTGGACATCGAGAGCAGGCAGTTCTAGACGTCAAACCTGGCACACATCTAAACGCAATTCTAGCAATACTCCCCCAGTACTCTAAAGCAAACCTTGATGCCGCTCCACCAACTCCGTAAACAATCCGTGCTGAGGTCGAGCAAGGCGGCCCCAAAACGCACTCGTCAGCCGAGCAGGCGTACAGGCAAGGAGAAGGAGAAGGAGATGATTCGATGGAGAAACATATTTATTGCTAGGCTAAGTTCATATTTAATGCATACACCTATAGGCATATGTAAACGTGGAGATAATCCAAGTGTATCTCGAGGAGCGCGTGCCTGACACAATCGGAATCGACGGGCAACCACATATAGTATACAACTACCTATATCTCTGTAACTGTAACTGTAACTGTATATGTATCTGCATCAGTATCTGCATCCGCATCTGCATCAGTACTATGGTGCAGTTAAGGAACAGCCATCTAAAGCATAGCTTAATCCAGACATTTTTCCCATTCTCTTCGCTTCACACACACGCATCCTTAGATAATGTCGCGTGTCCCATCCGTCTGGTTCGATTCAACATCTCAATATTCAAACGATCTCGGCCCGATCTTGCATATCCTATATCTACTCTCTGTTGTGTCTGTGTCTGTGTCTGCATCTGCGTCTGTGTGAGTGTGATTGCATTTCGTGTGCGTGTGTGTGTGTGCGCCAGAGAAAGTGAGATAGAGCGAAAGCGAATGCGAATGCGAAAGTGAGGGAGACAGCGACAGAGAGAAGTTGAGAAAAAGAGGAGAGTTTCCAAAATGTGCCGGGCACCGCTCCCAAAAGTCGCTAGAACTTAAAAACTGAATAATATACATGCTATACACACGTATATATAAATATATATATATATATTTATGATTATATAGCGCGCGCTAAAATCTAAAGCAAATCGAAGGATAATCCAAAATGCTACATTATCTAAAACGGAAACTTGAACAGAAATCGTCGCTTTATAAGTTGGCAATTAAAGCCCAATACCTAATACCAATCATAAATCGATAAACCTAGAAAAGAAACACACAACACACCACACAAATCACAAAATAATATATAGACGCTTATGAGCTTTATTTGATCGATTGCATTGAAATGGAAGCTAAAAGCAGACAGAACCCCCAAAAATTGAATCACAAACAGTAGCGGGGAAATGTGTAACCAAATATTATATGATATTACCGAGCGATCCAAGCTTTATATAACAAATTTACCATATTTATAGCATACGTGCATATTTATTACCATTATTATTATTACTGATTATTATTATCTTGTCTTACGATTATTACTATATCATTACACTGTATTTATTACCAACGAGAAAAGGAACAAGTGCAAAATTACTTCAAACCCAAATCGAAAAGCCATACTTTGAATAGCGAAATTAGACACGAATCGAAGACACACTGTAACACGCAAGGATGAACCAAATGCCGTCAGCAGAACGGCCAACTTACCATCTATAAATCTCCATATAGATGGTAAGATATATGATTATATATTCATTTGCTTGTGTGTCACACGCGCGCTCTCCTTCTACGTACATATTTGTAATTGCATCTGTTCGTTTTCCTTATCGAGTTGTAGGGATATGTACATCTATATATACATATGTGTATATCAAAGCACCCAAAAGCTACTTCATTCCATTAGCCAATCATACTTGTAGCCACTAAACGCGTTTTTGTCTTCTTTCGTTTTTGTGTAAGTCTGTTTAATTTCGTTCGTAAGATCTGTAATCACATCTGTAGCTATGCATAAGTGTCTCATCCGATTAGTTTATATTTTAGAGGCCATCTAAGTATTATGTTCGTTTCTCTCATTGTTTCATAATCATATGTTGTAAATTGTTCCGTCCAAAAACAAAAAAAAATGAAATGAGAAACAAGAAACAAAACAAAGCTGAATGAAACGATAAACAAACGCAAACGAAACAAAGCAAATGCAAATGCAGAAGCAAAAGCAAAAGCAAAAGCAAAGCAAACAATTGTAAAACGAAATTAAGCAATCTATATCTGATTTTTTGTAAGGCTCTAAATAATGAAGCGCACGAATGCATTGTTTGTAAACTAAATTTGTAGTCCTTGAAAGACCTGCGGACATTTATTGCACTGTACTGTACATAAGGTGTTGAAAGTGCAGTGCGTTTCGCGGCCATAAGCCAACGAAGCTGGCCAATTATGATCGAAAATGCGTCAGAATAACTGAATGAGATCCTGGCCTTATAGCTGGCAAACGCACTGTGCCGTATTATTAAACTTAATCCTGATTTGCTCCCCCTCTATCGATGTAAGGACTGCTAAACACATCAGTGGACACATCCTGTTTCGATTTGGACCTGTAATATCATTAGCATATAGTACTAGATGCAATTGCCTATGCCCCACGCCCTCAACCCCTCAACCTTTTGTGACCCCGCACAGTATGACACCCGATGACATATCCACATATCCACGATCCTAGTCCGCACAAGCAAAACGAAACAAACATACATATGTACACCCCCACACACTGCCACTGCCATTGGTGAAAGTGAGATTTAGGCCAACTGAAGCTTCCAGCATTTACCAGTGCCATAACTTTATAACTTTATATATGTAACTTTACACACGCCACACGCCCAGCATCGAGCTTAGCACTAGCTTTCTTCCGAGCTTGCTTGTTGGACAGAACGAAGTGAGTACGAAGAAGCATCAGCCTCCCTCCATTGAAAGAACTTAGTCTTAGCCGATCTGGAGTCCAGTCTGGAACCGCCGTGCGGATCGGAACCACCTAGTGAAAATTGTAATGGCGTGAGGCGATTGACGAGTATCAGCATTTTTAGTCTAGACAAATGCTTGGCTTCTTGGCTTCAATTCGCGGATCGGCTTAATCCTTCTAGTATGTGTTTAACGATTCCAATGCAAAGACTTTTATATACCTTTTTTCTTTTTAAACTAGTTATATATACGTATACACCCATATATTAGATTGTACATTATTGTTTAGCATGTTTCGACTGGAATTTAAGCCGAATTTTAGATCTTCTCTAGTCAGTTCAAAGCGTTTTTTGTTCGTTTTGTCACTCCCCCACCATACAAAACACACACACATACATACCAACACACACACCCACACACCCATAGTTTAATAGTTAGTCAAGGCAAGCTTTTAACGCCCCCTGCCACGCCCCGCCCTTAAAAACCTAAGCTGTATGTACTTGTATGTAATATCAAAACAAACAAAACAAAAAAAGCAAAAAAAAAAACACAAGAACATGAAAGAAATGCACTTAAAATATGAAAACGATTTAAAATGAAACTTTTGATTTTTTTTTTCGAACCCATTGAAACTTGGAAATTCATCGATTTATATATAGTTAATAATATAATACCTATATTGTGCTAAAAAATAAAGAAGGCGCCGGCTAAGTGTAATGCAAACCAAACTGAAAAGGAAAACATATGCATATAAAATATAATCGAAAAATTATACAAATGCTAAGAAAAAATGAGAATCACAAAAGTTGTTTATGCTGCTTTTTGCAAAAAAAAAATGGAAAATAAAAACCGAAAAATTAGGCTATACTTAAATATACATACAAATTAAATACGTATATGTTTAAATCGAATATAAATGAGTGTGTACGCTTGGCACAAAAAGTAAACCAAAACCATAAACAATCCAAACAAAAAAAGAAAAGAAAACAAGAACAAAAAACCAAGAAAAATAACTAATTACGCTAAGGAGCAGAAGAATCGGAGTAATTCGGAAAACTACTATACGAATCTAATGTTTTGCCATGTAAGTTCTATGAATGTCCCACCTGCCTGATATCCCCGCTTCGAGAAAATGCCTAGATGCCACCCAACCCCCCTCCAAGCACCCCGCTGATTTGCACCGCCCCCAGTCCCCTGCCCCCCCGCCCCCCTCGCCAAGGTCGTTGGGAAACTTTTGTGCGATATAGTGCACTTCTATGTCCATCGATCCGCCGCATAATTGTTAACATTTGTATCGGTTATTAACGTAGTTGTTGTGTATGTATGTATGTAAGTATGTAAATGTGTGCTTACCCCATGCTCCACCGCCCCTCAGTCCCCCCGCGAGCCCAGATAAAATAACGATTACGATTAACGGTAAAGATAGCGATACTCAATTCTTGTTGTTATTGGCAGCGCATGTCTTTTAAGAGCTAGTGATATATGATTTATCCTCCCTTCTACTCCCAGAAATCTGAAGTTTTTTAGCAAGCAAAACCACACTCACACACTCACACACTCACACACACACACACACTAGGACACAAAAGAGTGATCTCCACGAAATGCTTATATTACTATATAGTATATACACACCCATATATAAACAGCGTATAAAGATTATAAAAATATATATATACATATATAAATCATACCAAATGTATAACACTTTCGAGCAATGAAATTCAATCCCCTTTTCATCATATAGAAGACGATCAAATCCGATAGTCGTACACTTTTGCTTGCTGTTCAGTTCCATCAATCAGTTCATGCCGATCCCGATCCTTCCGATCGTTATATCCTTGTTTACTTACCATCCAACCCAAAAAACCAAATCCATAACGAGACTAAACGAACCGAACCGAATCGAAACGAAATGAAATTAAATGTTGCCATGTATAACACTTTAGTAGTTTATTATTATTATTATTATTACTACGATTATTACAATATTATTAAGCGAAGGACACATATTGTTTAAACGAAGGAAGGCAAACAAACGAAAGAAGCAAACAAAAATATTATAAATATTCAAAAATGAAAACTGACAAAATTAATTTAAATAAAATAATTTATTAATAAACCACATATTATAAAATGAAAAAAAAACAAATAATCGCAAGTGTTTCGTATTTTTTAAGTAATCCTTACTCCTTATCTACATAATGCGTCGTAACTGAATTATGATGGGGCAATATGATATCATATCATGATGAAAGGTGACTGCCTTATACGCTGATAATATCGCAAATGCAGTCTTTTCGACGTCTGCCGGAAGATTCATTCCGGCCCCATGGCCAGTTTGTGTGGGGAACCTTGGAGTTTCGGGGTCGAAATCAAGGTACCGGACGCCCTTGCTCCCGTTTGGGCTCCTTTTGCCGCCAGCTGATATCCGAGTGCCCATAAGCGATCCGCTCGTTATATAATTCGCAATTCGGCGGGCATGTGGCTCCATTTTGGGGACAGTCGTGTTCTTGAATTTTACGCAACAGTTGGCGCCGCCGCAGCGCGATCTTGGCTATATAGCGACGTCGATGTCGATGGCGTCAACCTGCGGCCCGACCACCCGTTCACCCAATCGCCCAGCCTGGGTGCCCATCTGCTGCACCAC